GATGGACTGGAAATATCGAGTCCGCGGCGCCGCGCGGGGGGGGGTGAAGTAGAGAGAGGGCGGTGGGCGGAGGGCGCGGGCGCGCTCTCTCGCGTGCGTCAGTCGGCGGCGGGCGCGCGAGCGAGCGGGCGAGCGGGCGGGCGAGTGGGCATCCTCTTCCACCTCCTGCCCCGCAATCCCTCTGCTGAAACGTCCCCTCCACTGTAGTGCTAGCGTGACCGCGAGTAATGCTCGAATTAATGTTCCAGTCCGTCTTCTAGTGCGTTGGTCGTAGTAGTGGAATGTACTGGTGCTTGGTTTTCGGATTGTGCATGAGTGTGGTGGCGTGGGTAGCTTGGGTAGGTATGTGCAATACTCGTGTCAGTTAAACAATTGTGTTTGGTGTTTTTGTTGTTTCCGGAATTTTGAAATGCCTTTGTAAACATTATTCTTTCCTGTGTTTTATTGCAATAATTCTGTTTTTGAAAACCGAATAAACCTAGTGATGAAACACACAGAGTATGTGGACTGTCGTGATAATAAGTTTCATTTTGTATGCTCCGCTTTTCATTTTGGTATTACGCGAGTGACGGTGCATCAGTGGCGTGTTGCCAAAATATTGCTACGTGACAGCTATCGACTAGAATCCTCCACGTGATTCATCTCCACGTGCGAAATAGCATTGCGGATTGCCTTTGCTCCTTGCAACGCAAAGGTCGTGAAGGGCTAAGGAAGTTGAAGTTGCTTTAGGAGTTATATTGACGATTCTCGCGTCTTCTGCACCGTTTTCTTTATTTGATTGCTGGTTTATTACAAAGATTATATATTTTTGTGGTCATGTAGTTAGCCCGATGGTCCTAGAAGTCATTACAAAGCGACTGTCATATATTACGGTGAGCTAAGCCGTCAGTCGATTCAATTATTCATTTCGTCCATCGCTCTCGAGCAACAACAGAGATATTACTTAAAAATGCAGCACTTAAGAACCAACGGATGGCTTGCTTAAAATTTGTGCCTAAGAAATTCGTGACAAGAGGACAAATCTAGCAGAAAATTTGACTACCATTACCTTAGATTGGTAATTTTTAAGTCACTATTCTTCAGTGGGGAAGCCAACTGGGGCAATTTGCCTGAGACTCCGATCTAATAAAGGTCTCAAACAATTCATTATCTTCATTCACAAAAATAAATATAATATTTTGTTGAAAAAACTGCCCTGAGTGAAAAAACAACGTACATAATTAAAATAACAGAGCAGTAAATTGTACAAAAGTGATATTCTCTTGTCTGACGTCTTTGAGACTGAGTGTGTGGCTCTAACGGCGCGCGTGTGTTGTGTGCGCAGTGAAGTCGTCGTCGCCGGCGGCGAAGAAGACGTCGACGAGCGAGGCGCCGCGCGAGGCCTGCCCCACGGACAGCGTCACCTCCAGCTACGGCGTCGGCCCCACCGACGAGCACGGCCGGCCGCTCTTCGGCCTCAAGGCGCTGCGGCGCCAGAACACCGGCACCAACACTCAGCCCCCGTCAGGTGAGCCTCGCGCGCCTCTGGCGCACCTCTTGCTGGGCACCAACACTCGGCCCCCGTCAGGTGAGCCATGCGTGCCTTTGGCGCACCTCTTTCTGGGCACCAACACTCGATCCCCAGCAGTTGAGCCATGCGTGCCTTTGGCATACGTATTTCTGGACACCAAATCCAAGTTCCCGTCAAGAGAGACCCGCACCACTACACCGCATGCCTTTGGCATACGTACTAGCGGGCACCATTACAGCTCCAGGCAAGTGAGCCCCGCGTGACTTTGGCAGACGCGTTACTGGTCAACAACTTTCAGTTACCGTCTAGGGCGCCACGCACCACCACACCCCACACCTTTGGCATATACACTAGCAGGCACTAACGCTCAATCCTCGTCAGGTGAACTCCGCACTACCATATGCCTTTGGCTTGCGTATTACTGGGCATCACATCCAGCTCCACTACACCACCCGTGTTTAGCATACGTACTCGTAAGCACCAAACCCAACCCCTGTCAGGTGAACTCCACACCTCTTTGGCACACGTAGTAGTATTCCTTGTAATCGTGCACCTAGGACTTTGGCATGCGTAATAATAAACCTTCACTACTCAGCCCCCGCCAAGTGAGCGTGGCACCTCTATATATTTTGCATGGGTATTTGTTTCACAGTTCTCCTTGCGGTTCGGCACTCAGCCCCCGTCACATGAGAATCGCTCTGCTACGTCTTTTCCACAAGCACTAGTTGGAAGTTGTGCATTGCGTTCCTTGTAAACCGACAAGTATTTCCGCGAGGTGAGCACAGCCACACTACAGTGATCCTACGATTAAAACTTTCGCCTAAGTACTAGTTCGCAGTTCTCCATTGGATTCACAGTCTGATTTTGCTCAGAGCCAGCATTATCGTCATCCCTGTAGCGATTGTGGTCGATCCCAGGTTTCGAGTCCAGATGGCTGCGTATTTTACACTCTAGCAAAATATACGATGAATTCGGAGACTGTCTGGAGGACTATGCTACTGACCGGCTGTTTTGATCGATAGTTTTCCATAATTTGTCCGATCAATACCAGAGAAGTTCCTGAACCAACGAACCTTGAACCGCACGCGATCTCTCCTTCGTCTTCCTCGTCCTATCCTCACCCCTTACTTACACCTAAATATACTGCATTCCCACACATGTCGGGAGACCCGTCTGAAACGTAGACATGACCCGCATGGGGCAGTGCCCCGCTGGGGGAGGTACCTACAAGAGGAAGTCCTCCGCAAGCCGACGTGTAGGTCGGCATCGTAACTCACTTTCCAGTGGGGGTGGAATGCCGCCAATTCCCGAGAAGTACCTTGCACCACTCATACGGGACTAATGACCATAGCAGTTGACGCGGCCGGAAACATGAATTAGTCAAGCAATTTATCAATTAGTCAATTGTACTCTTTTTAAAACGGCACTTACACCCAATCCCCGTCATTACTCCATTGGATTAGGTAATAAATCCACGCGGTCCTCAACTGTATTCATCGGTAGTATATCTTGCCGTTTCACAAGTTGTATTTGACAGTTCACTGTCTTCCTTTAAATCCGCCACTCAATCTTAATTTGATTGTTTCATGTTTCCGTGAGCGTCAACATCGATGGTTACTAGCCCCGTAAGTGTAGTACATGTTTTATCCTGAGTGGTGGCGAAGATCTTTACTCGCTGGAATGTGAGATCCGGCGCCTATCTACACGCCAGCTTGCGGGATTTTCTCTTACCTCATCCTCGGTGACAGGCCCTAGTCGGAACATGCTTCCGACCGGTCTCCTGGTATGTATGGTAGAGCGAGTATAAGTGAGGGATGAGGATAGAACAAGGAACAGGAAGGAAGCTCCCGGGCGGTCCGTGGCCCGTTTCGAAGGGTACTACTCCGGCATTCGCCTGCTGTTGATCGGAGAAACCACCAAAAACTACCGATCAAAGTTGCCGCCCGCTGGAATTCTCCTTCTGACAGCGCAGTGGTTGGAGGAGATTTGGTGCATTGTAAACACCTGTCCACCATTCTCACCCCCGTCACTCTCGAATCGAGCTAATATTTTTCCTTTTTCGCAAACAAAATGTTCTACTAAATTGCACTTAAGAGTAACATTCACCACATTCCTAAAGCGAAAACGAGAAATGTGAATGAATAGACGAAAGGCGTCTCATATGTTTCTCAAAACTTTCCATTTTTCATTTCTTTTCCAATTTTATTGGCATTTTTGTTCTGAAGCACCTCCCATTTCTTTTCGTGTGAGTTTTCTTTTAGAATTTCGAATTTCTTGTCTCTCGTGTTTTCATTTCCTTGCGTTTGGAATTGCCGGACTCCCTTCGCTTGTCTACACATTTTTCTTTAATTTTATCGAACCGTTCTTTTATTATTTGTAAATTTTACTACATGAAATCTTCACTACATGAAAGAGAACCCCAGTGGCCCGCTTTACGTGGCGGGGCGAGGCGAGGCGGGCCAGGCCGCAGAGTGTGACTTGAAGTGGAACCTTGTCCTTCTGCGTCCTGCGACAGGCGGCGAAATAGCTCGTGGGCCGTGGCGTGCGTTTGGAGAAGTGGGTCGCGATGCAACCGCAGGAGGATGTTTAGAGCGCCACGCTCTCTTGCGCCGCCGCCCACTCGCTCTCGCGCGGGCCGCAGCCACTCGCGCCGCCGGGGGGAGATCCAGCGAGCGATATCTCGATTGACGGTGTTGGTTGTGGGTTTTACGAAGCGGTTTGGGGAATACGAGGTGAAATCCTTGTGCGTTTTCAACGTGTTTTCCTCTGCGTGCTGGGGTGTTATAAGACCGCATTCTATTCCGTTAGTTTATCTTATTTCGGATGCTCTAACCCACCCTTGGACATGCAACAATTGACTTGCCTACAATTAACGAATTGTGGGTTGACCACTTGATTGTTTCAGGATGGTTATCAGAAGTCACTGGGGGGGGCGTCAATGGAAACAGATGCAGTTTATTAAACGTTTCATGTTTTTTCCGATGAGTTTCTTAAAACAATTCTGGCGAAACTGTTCCGTGTCAAATTTGCATTCATTCACGTGCACACAAAATACTTTATACAAAAATGCTAAATGAATCTAATGCTTTACCCATGTTAAACAAAAAAGTAAATATAAACAAAAAGATCCTCTGATTCCACCGAAGCCAGACTTACATATTTATATCTTAAAACCAGTTTCGATGGCTCAAGGCATCAATTAATATTACTGCAGTGCCTCTGATTGGGAATCGGGTTCGAGTCCTGACCGTGATCACTAGCTAGAGAGCTAAATCCAATTCAGACGCTGTCTGAAACAGAAATATAGCTCTGATGGGCTGCTCTGATGGGTAGTTTACCGTGGTTTCTCCGATCAACGCCAGGCGAGTGCTGGAGCAGTACCTAAACAAACGCACCGCTCGCTATCTTTCCTTCCTCTTCCTTGTCCTATTCTCAAACCTGAGTCGCAGACACGTGCACTTACACCCACTACACTGCCCCACATGCCGGGAGACCAGTTAGGAGCTTACGGCTTGTCTGTGCTAAGGCGGCGCATCGTTGGTGGGAGATACCTGGTAGGGGAAACGCAGCTAGGCGACGGTACGTCTCACCATCTGATGTGAGAGATTCCTGCCACCTTGCACCAAAAAAACATGCACAATACTTAAAGGACTAATGACCTTATCAGCTGACGCGCCCGGAAACACCAATGAATCATTGCCTGCCACAACCCCCAAGCCCGTGAACTGAGTTGTGTGTGTGTGGTCGTGTTTCAGAACAATTTTTTTTTTTTTTTTTTTTTTTTGTTGTCAGGCGAGCGCGCCCCGCGCCCGCCGCCGCAGCGACCGCGCGCCCCCCGCCCGCCTCCGACATCGCGACTCCAGCGGGCGCCCGCTCTTCGGGGGCTGCGCGCCCTAGCGCTCGCAGCCCCGCCCGCCCCCCCCGCGCCGCCCCAGCGGCCGGCCCCGGCCCCGACGGCGACGGCGACGGCGACGTCGCCATGCCCGAGCAGCCCAACTCCCCGCAGCTGAAGGAGCTCGTCTCCAGGCACGAGCAGCACGTCCGTGAGTACAGCGCCCCTCGGCCTCTGCGGTGCCCTTGGCAGAGAGGGGAAATGCCGTGAGGAGTAGAATGAGGGGAGACATGAGAGGGGAGAAGGATAAAGTAAGAGGAAGGAGTGTGAGCGCCGCAAGGGCGAAAAGAAGAGTAAAGAGGCGAAGAGTGGAGAAGAGTGATGGAAAGTGATGTAGAAAGAAATGCAGAGAGAAAGAGAAAGGGAGACATTTTGAGTGTGGGAAGTCTCATATATTATTTTATTTGGGTACAAAATAATGCTGAGGCCGATCTTCTACAAACCAGCTGAATAAAAGACATAACCATTGTGCAAAATTAATGGGAATAGTGACAAAATTGAAGGAAGAATATTATCATCTATCCTGTATATGCCAATGGTAGCAAACCTAAGAATGTTTGCCTTAACGACGACGATTAATAATTTGAGTATTCGCTACAGGAAACGTGTGTAAATTTCTCTCTTTCCGGTTTGCTGTCCATAATGTAAGTTTTGTGTGATCGATAAAAATAACGTCAGTATATTCACAAGCTTAATTTTGAAATGAAATTCGGTTGTTTTTTCCAGAAGGAGCTGATTAATATATCGTAAAGTTCGGTATCAGGTGATCACCCGAGAAATTAATGTTCAAAACACTATCGTTTAAACGATTCACTGCCTCTGAATTCGACTTGAAAGAACATCTGGAAGTCTCAACAGCGCAGCTGCCATAAGGCTTTAGCCGTGCGAGACACTTTGGCAATAGTCAGAGATATTAAATAACCTGAAATCGAGGGAGAAATAGAACTTCATTGAGAATATTAGTACTCTTCAAACATTAATTCTTACTTTTGTACAAAAAATGTTTGTTCACTGTTCAATAATTCATTAACTGAGAAACAATTTTTATTACTTTTTATCACATCAAATAAGGTGTCATTTATAGCCACGGTAATGGCTTCGTATCTGAAATGATTTGTGTGGCAATAGCGTATTAGCGAGTAGAACACACTATATCGCATTTTAATAATATCTGTAAGACTGTGAACCTTTGATTCCCAGTCGGTTCTGTCAGTTCATTAATCATGCCTACGAACTTCATATGAGCAGATGCTGCAGAGGCGTGATGTTGCATCCTGCTAGTAACGTGCTATTTCTCATTCATCTTAGAAGAGCGTTTGACAGCTTGCTAACGCAGCAAACCGTAACACTCAAGTTTTAAAGCCAATTGGACGGCGTCCAAATCATGTGTGAAGGCAAACACGTGATCACCGGTTCCGGAAAAGCGGCGGTGAGCGCGGATGTCGTACTCGACATCGTCATTTGCAAAGAGCCATCGAACGCGCCGCGTCGTGTCAAACGCGCTCCCCCCCTTTTTTTTCTTTGTTCGAAATCACGGAATCAACCCAAGAACATCTATTCAAACGGAGATTCAATGAAATAATACCTTATATCTCAATGAAATATTGCTTCTCGCATCCTTCATGTACGAGAACTCCCAATTGACAAGAATGCAACTTGTAGAATGTTTTGATCAATGAAGTATAAGAACTGCGACATATTGACATGTTGACACATATCCACATTATGCTATTGACTTTGACTATGGATTGTAAGATGTTCGCAAATAGCATTCGAACTATAAACAATTTTCGAGAAAATATAAGTACTTTTCTTGTTATTGATTTTCACGAATTGAGTAAAATTGAAAATGAATTAATCATGTAACGCAGAATTTTAAAAAAATCTACTTTTCATAACTCTATATTTAGTGTAAATAGTATTCATAACAGTAAGAAAATTAGCAAAAAAAGGAAGAAGAAGAAGAAATAGAGAAAGGAATGAGAGTAAGGTGGCTATGAGATAGGAGGATATATTGTTCTACTGTTTAGACTGGTAAAAACGGAATAAAGAATAGAAATGATAGTTAAATTAATATTAATGTATCGTATCAATATAATTGAAGGACGGGCTTGGGAAAAAGTATAGGTATCAAAAGCGAGTTTTGGAGAAAAAAGAGAAAAACTGTTTAGTGACACTTGGGTTTCAATGGATGGTCAGATTATTGACGTGCATACATAGGACAGCGAAGAGAAATCTTAATGTGTGGTTAAATTTCCTACTATTGTATTTGTTTATTGGTGAATTGCTTACTATTGTATGGACACATCCCTTCCCATGTAAAAAGTAAAAATGTCATATCGTGGCACTAATACCCTTTCCCATGTCCGCCCTTCAATTACATTGTTATTGTAATTGCCAGCGAGAATTGTGAGACTCGTTGGCTAATACTCCCGAAGAGGGCAAAGGAGGGGGGCCTGCGCCAACGGGTGTGGGGCGGGTCAGAAGCCTTCCCTCCTTCCCTCCCGCCGAGCGGCGTGCGCGTGCGTGTGCGTGTGCGTGCGCGTGAGCGCGTGCATGAGCGAGCGTGTGCGTGCGCAGGTGGCAACTCCGTGTCGGAGCCCGTGGCGCCGCGCCAGAAGCCGCGCGCGCGACTCCGCGACAGCTTCATCCACCGGCCCGAGGAGCCGCAGCCGCAGCAGCAGCAGCAGCGGCCGGAGGACGGCCCCGACGAGCACCCCGAGGACGCCCGCCTGCTCGCCCAGCGCGCCTGCACCCTCAAGTCCATCATCCAGAAGCACGAGAAGCTCGTCGCCAGTGAGTGCCCGCCGCCGCCTCTGCCTCTGCCTCTGCCTCTGGTCTCTCCCTTCTGCCTTACTTCCTCCATCTGCCTTGCCTCCTCCATCTGCCTCCTCCACCTGCCTTGCCTCCTCCACCTGCCTTGCCTCCTCCATCTGCCTTGCCTCCTCCATCTGCCTTGTCTCTTCCTTCTGTCTGAACTCTTTGTCAGGGTGTTTCCGCTGACTTCTCCAAAGACCACACTTTTCCATTCACTGTCAACTTGCTCTTTCTTCTATCTTGACTCTTGTTTTTGTCATGCCTCTCCCTTCGGTTTTCCCACTTCTTTCTGCCATGTCCCTTCTGTTGTTCTTCTCTTTCTCTCTACCTACTCCTTTTCCTGTCCATCTGCCCTCTCTCTTCTCTTCTTAATTGCATTAGGTACTGGGTATTCCCATTTCTCATGTGTTGTATTTAATGCCATGTTTAATGTCTATAACTATCTGGAACAAGACAAAACATTTTCATAAAAATATAAGTATTGATTTTTCACAGGATATAAGTAGTATCTTTTGAAGTATTACATTTCTAATTAAAACTCTTAAATAGTCATTGTGTTGTTTCCTCACAAAAGTGTGGGAAAACTATCTTTTAATGTAAACAAATATATTTTAGTCACTTGGAAGTCATTCCCTAACTTTACATACATTTTTTAATACAATTATTGATACTATGGACATTTAAAATTTCTGGATACTGCAATGTTGTTTTCATTCTTATTCAAATTCTCTCCATCTTTAATCATATTTTTTGAAGATTTTAAAAATAAATTGAATGCTTTTGTGTCCAAAGTTATAATTTGTGAGTTTTTTTCAATAATTCTATTTTGGGTCTTTTCAAATGTCATGTTTTCAAAGAATAGTAAATTAAATAATTACACTACACTAATTGGTAAAAATTCCCATGATAAAACTTTTCTCCTCATATACAATCCAAATTTTTTAAATCGAAGATTTTATTATTCTTGAAGGCTTTTGTGAGAAACAGGAACTGACTTAGGTCATTGTCCATCTTCTCCTGGACCTTTGCCTATCTCATGTCTTTGTTTTGTCTTCTTTGCTCCAGTATTTTTAAGTTGGATTTAATGTTCACAACCAACATAACTAATGGCTCAGTATTCTTTTGATACTTGTGCTCTCTTTGGCCTGCTTTCAAATGCTATTTCTGGAATAATTTTTAATGTCATTCTAAATTGCAAGAAGTTGCATTCATTTGAATCAGAGGAAAGGCATAAATGCAAATTAGTTTGTTTGGAAAGTTGGAGAGAACTAGATATTGATATGATATTATATTTCACCACATATGGAATTTTTATTAAATGATGGATAACTACTGATATGAAACTTGACACATTGCAACAATAAATCTTGAACAACAGTTAACTTTTCAAAAGATAAGTCCATTTAATTTGTTAAATAAAGAATCAAAATTTCATTTTATAATTGACTGGAAATGGATCATTATAAAATGCATAAGATAATGTTTTTTAATCAACCCAATGAAGTCCCTAACAAATTCTATTTGTACATTTGGTACTACCTATACATTTCGATGGTTTCTTATAATTTTCTCACACATCTGTTAAATTTCCACTCATTACACCTCTCTTTTCCAGTTTTCATTTAAAGCAGATATTTTCACTTGTACTAAATTTCTAACAAAGTGAATAATGTTGCTCAGTATGTACACTGAATTAATATGTAGACTTAACCATTTGTTATTGACTCATGTATACTTAATAATATTCCTTTATATAAATAAAATGTCTGTTAACAAAGAGGTCATTTAGAAAGAAATTCTAATGCAAAAGGGTACCTTGTAACAATCATTTTCTAATCTGAAAATGTGACTCCTTTTCAAAATAACTTTTGCTCTGATGAATTTTTTTAGAATAGTTGATTTTTTCTTTTCTTTCTTTTTTAGTACTTTCTTTCACCTTACCTTACAGTGATAATTTGCATTAGCACATCAAGGTTTTATTATATTCTTCTTTCCCTTCTTGAAGGTGAGACTGAAACAGACAGACTGCGTCGCAGATCACAGGAAGAGCCAGACTCAAGAGGTCAGTAAAAATTTGATCTTTATCATTGAGACTGATATTTAAGTGAGTAAAGTAATTATTTTGTTGTGTTCATGTTCTACTAGATTCTACTAGTCCAGAACCCAGTCGCCGTCCTGGGATACTGAAGAAAACTCGAGATGACCAACTTGATGAGGTGACCAGCACTTCAAAAACCACTGTTGTATCATCTCGAGGCCACGTGCGGTCAGATGGCACTGTTTCACTGACACGTGATGTAATCAAAGGTATGTTTTTTTTTAATGTACTCGAACTGTTTATCAAGTTACATTGTTCATTGTGCTTACCGGTAGTTCATAAAACAAATCATGAGAGAAAAAACAAAGTTAAATTTGATAATATTATTTTATCTATGCAGTCTTACCATAATTCATAAATTTGAATTTTCATAGCTCACATGTCTATAATTCAAAAAGTGTCATTGAAGTAAATTGTTATCAATTGTGTAAGGGACAGTGTTTACAATTTGTGGCAAAGGCCCAATGCCAAGGTCTCCAAAAATAGATTTGAAGATTTCTTTCCTATGTCTGCAAAGGACCAGGAGGAGTGGGGATTGTAGTAGAAGTGAGAGAGAAGGAAGACATTGGGATCAGCTTAGTAGACGATACAGAAATAACCCACCCCCGGCTCTGGCATGGCTGAATGCGGCTGGCCAATGGACAGAGCATGTGAGAGAGAGAGATAGCAAAGGGCGTTGGTCTTTGATGGTGCCTGTTGCACATTACTAGAGTGCAGAAGCTGCTGGATTTTTTTTTAACCTGCTTGTATGCTGAGATTCGTTTGAGACTTGGCTCTGTGCCTTGCTGCAGACACTTCAGAGCTGGTCACAGCTCCTGTGTTCAGTTGTGAGGTTGTTGTTGGACAGAGGTGGTTGTAGAGGAAGGTGGCTCCTGACTGTTCAAGCATGCACGAGTTAACAATGAGGAAGAGGATAATTGTGTTATGAAGAACCTGTAAAACATTTTATCTGGAAACATATAGTTCCTTTTGCATTTATTAATTTGTTGTTAAAAAAAATAATGAATTGTTTTAAAATTTGTTTGTGTTTTACTCATCACACTGTGAGCAATATTTATTAAATACAAGATGTAGATTTAATTTTGTGATTTACTGTTAGGAGACACAAATTTATTGATTTTTGTATTAATTGCATTGACAATGATTATTCTAAATTAATTTGAATTATGCAAACTAATGATAAACATGAATTTTGCCACAAATGCATCTGGTCAGTTCCAGCGACCAAGTGTAGTTGTTTCTCTCTTTGGTGTAATTATTGTCTCATACCTTCTGTGGAGTTTCTTTTCTGTCATTTTTATCGCCACTGTTATTGGTTGTTTATATGCAGTGCTTTATAGCAGTCGTTCATTAAGTAAGAATACAGCATTTGAAGGTGAGAAAAATCTTAATGTACATTATATTACAATTCAAAATAGTATTCTTAAAGCAGTATTTTCAAAATTGCAGTATGAAAGTACTTTTACTTGCAATAATTAATTTACTAAGACTATATTTTACAGAATTGTTTCAATTTGAACTCGTGGGGTAAAAGTAAAGTCAGTTTCTTGATGACTGGTAGTTTTGCATAAATTGAGTAAGCAATTACAGTTGTCATTAATTGTATGTATTTTCACACAAATAATTTACTATTACTTATGCTAAACAATTTTTAGATTTTTGTCATACTACTTTAAAATAAGTGTAATTGAAAATTATTAAATTAAAAATTCATACTTAATCAAATTTTACTAATAACTCTGAAAAGCAATTTTACACACATTTTCCTGTAATAAATAATGGTGATTTATGTAATTCATTTAAAAAATATTGCATTGTAAATTGTGTTGCAGGTGAGAGAGTGTGCCGTCCTGGGGAGGAGCCTGTTACCAAAGTAACCAAAACTCATTATTCCTACAATACTCCTGAAGAGAAGAGCACTTTGTCAATTGAACCTTATGAAGATGAAGACGATGACAAGCCTCAAACATCCCCTCAATCCAGCAGAAAGTCCTCAGTTGCAAAGAGCTCTTCTCCTGAGCGAGGTATTGTGGAGCATGTTGAAGATGAAGTTAAATCATCCAAAGTAACATCTCTTATTCGAGACAATAGTCTCCGAAAATTTAAAGTCACTGAAGATGGTACGAATAAGAATACATCTGTCACCAAAACACAAATTACCGTTAGACCCGGTAAACTGAGTACTGATGATGATGCGAACAGTGTTCGTAGGCGGTCCAAGCTGTTTGAGGAAAAGATCGATTCTCATAAAACTCAAACAACTAACAATAAATTCACATCAAACAGGGTGACAGATGATCAAAAATTTAGCAGCAAACGAACAATTGAACCTAGCAAATCCACTAGGCCATCACAGGGCACACGGTCACCTACTAGGTCAATCTCTCCAGAAAAGAACATTCCAGATCAGTCAGAGAAGGAACCATCCAGAGTTAGCAGTAAATATACTAGTTCAGTAACTTCAGTTACCCAAAAGTCTGATAGTAGAATCTCTCCTGAAAGGACACCAGATTCCGTCCGTCGTAAAATATTTGCTAATGAAGATGAAGATGAGGAATATGAGGTGTCTCGTCACTCTTCCTCTTACAGTCAGTCCACCACCCAAGTGACAACTCGTAAAGTAACATCACAATATGAAACATTTGAGGAGAGGAGATACTCCAAAGATGGTCTGGCTCTAGAAGATAGGACATCACCGGACAGGAAAGTGAGCAGCCTGGAGTACGATGATGAAGAAGATGAAAATTATAAAGTTTCTGGTCATTATTCTTCATCCTCGAAACATTCAGTAAGATCAAGCCCAGACCGAACAAGTTATGGAAGAGAGGACGACACTGATAGTCAAAAGAATGATCGTAAATATTCTGCGTCCAAGTCACAATATCGCACAACTGGTGGTACGACAGTCACAACAACCGAAACTTCGAGCACGAATGTCTCTAGGTCCTCCACTCCCAGCACAGCAGGAAGGAGAAGATCATCCGCGACCGCAGATGATCGAGAAAGCTCACCAACACCTGGTTTTACAAGAGGAGCTAGAGGAGGATCTGTGCGAGCACTGTCCCAGAAGTTCCAACAAGCGGCTGGTACGTGTCTTCTGAACCAATTGCTTGAACTTTAATTTTTCTTAACATAAAAGAAGTTGGCTTTCTAACTACAGATCAGTATATTATGTGAAATTAATGTTGGAAATTCAAGAAATGTCCTTTTTTAAATATCACAAGATTTTGAAACTTATTTTGCTGTTGAAACAGTTACTTTGTAAATATTGAAATGTTTCATTGTTAAGATAAGTTACATTGTCTTGTTAATTCTGTCCTTTGATAAATTTGTCATTGAAAAGAATTGCATCCTAATGGAAAATTAATAAATTTAAATTCACATTTGCAGTTATACAAAGCTTTTTTCTCTAAATTGTTGCTATCTTAGTTCAATGTTCTGCATACTATATTGTACAATTGTAAAACTAATATGAAATTAATAACATATTTAAGTTTACAACTTACTGTTATGCTTTTCATAAGTGTTTTGTGTTGTGTGCTTGTCGTAATTACCACAAATTGAGGCTTTAATACCATTGGACCCTAACCACATTTGTGATGCAACTATCCTTCTAACATGGCTGCCATAACATGTACACCCCTGACACAGCTGAGGCCAACAGCAGTGAGTCGTCACGAACACAACGAACTTACCCCAAGGCAGGACTCATCTTCCGATCCGCAAGCTTCCGGCTTAACAACGGCCATATACCTGTCAGCTCTCCAACAGAGGAGCAAGGTAACTAACACTTATGATTAACATAAACACAGGACGTTTCAGCTACGGCATGAAAGCTTGGAGTGTTTGGCTTTTTGAAAGAAGCAAGAATGCAGGTACCTTTTGCATGAATTGTACATTTATTTGATTTCATGTCTCTGGTGTGTCTGATCGGAAAGCAGCACATTAAGTCTATTCCATCTACTTAAAAATAGAAAGCCTTTCTTGGTTTTCTTGCTTTCAAATGGGAGAAAAAAAGCTTTCATTGAGTTGAGGCATTTTCAGAATTGAAAATAATTTGGCACCACTTATTTCCTTTCAAATTGTTCTTGTTTTAAGATCCACATCCTTCAACCAACAAAAATCCTTGGGTAAACCATGCTTGGTGTGATTTTTTTTTTGTGGCTTCTATAATAATATTAATTCTTGTATTGTCAAAAAAATTATATTGATATATTTATTTAAAGTAAATGCAAAAAAAGTCTACTGGCATAAATTAGTTGTTCAAAAATATGGATTTTGGCAAATTACATTTTCACAGAATTCACATGAGATTCCAGCTGCTTCAAATGAATTTGAGGTATGTATTAAAATCACATTTCTTTTTTTAGCAACTCCAACGGTAAAGCAAACTGTTTCTGTGGAAGTAAAGACTGGCTCCTCTAGCACCCAGAGCACTCCTCGAGCTGAGCAGGAAAGCAAGACTTTCCTCAATTCTCAGACAAAAGTCACGGGAGTGCAGGACATTCTCACCCGCATGAGGAATGCTGACCAAGGTTTGTGCAATTATATATTCCTCCATTTTTGACCTCAAGTTGTATAAAACTTCAGTGTATGAATTGGCGTGGAGAATTCTAAAATCAGTTGTTCAAATATATAAATCAAGAATGTTCTTGCATTCAAATGAAAATAATGGAAGAATAACAGATTTTAGTGGTAAAGTTTGATCATTTTAAAATTATTCTAGGTAACTTAAAATATTACCATGAACATTCAATTTCATAATTTATTTTGATGACTTGAGAAAAAATGATCGATAAATCGATGATTGTGTTGTTGTTTCTTGCAAATCGGGAATAGGATCATTTTCCGTAGTCCGATAAAAAGTATGCTTCTTCTTCAAAATTATTTGGTTTCATAAATTTCTGAAACCTGAAGTGAAAAATTGTCTTGATATTTCTTAAAATAACAAAATTGTTTAAATATGTTTTCTTATTGGCACAGTTTATTTTTACGAGAAAATAAAATAAAATTTTCTTTCAGTATCTAAAAGTGTGTGTTTGTGATGATTGTTCAAATAAAATATTTTTTTTATAGACATTGTTTTATGTAATAATTTATTATTACATAAAATTATTAATGTGGAGCTGCTCATTTACTGTTTCATTCTATATACCATTTACTGCAATATTCCAAGAACATGCTCAAATAATTTGGCTAAAAATATTTATACCTATTAATACCTCATTACACAGTAATTCACAAATTTGTATTCGGTAGAATAGAATAATACATGTCTAGTTGAAGTAGTTCAACTCAAATAATTTAATTCTCAATATTATGAATTGTACATATTGTTGTGTTCTATGTATTGTTTTGTATGTTTTAGATTTTTTAAAAGTTCAGTTTAAAGATGTACTGACAGTATAAACAATTTAAATTAAATTGCAGTAAATATTTAAAATTAGTATTTTTATGTAAAACAATTTCTAATGATTGATTTTCTGTAAAGTCCTTTGAATAGGTTTATTACTAAATATTGAGTGATATTACTTAAGATCATTGAGTGATAAAAATATTTATGCATTTGCATTTTTTTAAACATCTCTGGGAGGCTTTGCATCTGACAATTGGTTTGTTAAACAAACTTCAATAAGATGATGTCGCAGGAAATTATATTGAAGTGTTACTAATAACAACTACTGGGTATGAGGCTGATCTAAAAGTGTTGAGAAAAATATTAAAACTTTCAGGACTGAAATTAAAAATTTTCAAAAATTCTATGGACTTCACCAATAGGGAGGATGCGCACCTTCCAGTATTTTTTGGTATATGGGGTATATTGGAGGGAATCTCACAGTAATCTGAACCCTAGCTATTGATCCCCCCCCCACACCAAATAATTTGGTGCTGTGATGCCCATGTGTACATGTGTATTACTGACTTATTCCACATCTCACAAATTTCTCAACTATGTTATTACGTAACAATCAATGAAGAACATCAGTTCTTAAATCATCATCAATAATACACAATCAGTTTCAGAAAGTATATTTGAAACCAGTTGTCACTGTTTTCAGATTGTAATTTATTGAATGCCTAATGTAATTCACAAATGGCCTACATTTATTGACTAATTTTGATGTATTGATGAATTTTGGAGATTTATTGTATTATATTGGTGTTACAATTGCTTTAAAATAAAATTAGTAAATATCTGGGAAGAGTTTTAGAATACATGGAATGTACATAGTCATGTTTCCTAATTTTGTAAAAATGTATTGGAAAGATTACACAATTGACCGAAATGATCTTCTGGCAGATACGCAAGAAGGTGACACAGAGGAAGATGCTGAGGCGAGATCTCTCCTCAACAAGTTCTTGGGAGCACAAGTCATTCTGCAGGGCATGGAACCCTTGATGAAGGGCACAGCGGAAGCCCAGGCACAGAGTGCCGTCCTGGTCAGTCAAGTCGAGAGGCAACGTGTTATGAAGACTCAGAAGGTAAGTTGGTTTGCCTGTTATAATTCTTTACATTTCTCGTTCATTTTTTCTGATATTCAATAAATGGAGGAAAACAAATTTTATGAAAGACAGTTAGTAATCAACATGAAGAAAGGAAGAAGAAATAATATGTCAATGGTTTTCAGGAATTTATGTTTTCTGGTTCTGTCATGTAATGTGCTCCATTAAGTCTCAGAAAACGTTTATTAGTACAAGATAACTACAGTTTCTTGCACAGATTCTTCAGAAATGTTAATGTTTCTATCAGAGGTTTACTAATTATTGTTTCCAATAAATGATAACGATTAGGAGAAGATTGCTTGCCATTTTAATGAAATGTCTTTTTTTATCTTTTCACTTTAAAACAATGCCTTTTAGTTCACTCATTTCTTTACATTAAGATAAAAGGAAATTGATTATTTTTGAGACATTGTTTTTGCATTTTTCACTGATTTCGTCTTTAGTAAGTTTTTACCCTTTTCCATAATTTTTAAAGCATTATTGGCAGATTTCATTGAATTTAATATTTTTCTGGCACTTGCTTCAAATAATATCTACAAGTGCAACAAATGTTCTCCACAGAATTCCAGTATAACCTATTTGATTTCTTTGCTCAGAAATTATAACACTGTTGTGAGTATCTAAGCTTCTGCTACCCTTAACAACACCATTGTCGGTTCAGCTGATTTCATGAGAACTACAGAGATTCTCTGGTAAAGAATGATTCAAACCAAAAATTTGTAAGCTGTGTTTACTTGAACAAAAGGAAGAAGCCTTGATTACATCAGTAACATATCTAAGAGCTAGAGTTGTTCATCGGAATTGGTTTCGATAAAAAATTTTATGACATTTTAATTTGCTTTTAGAGCATTTTTAAAACATTTCAAAAGCATTTTATTGATCATTTTGGGCAATGTTTTAGGTTATGAAAATCTAACCCCCAAATAATGATACATTATGTGTATAAAGAACTCCTGCGGAAAAGAGAATATTTAAGATACAAAGCTAATGAAAAGTTTATTATTTTCCAAACACAAAATAAAATATGAAGATTAGTAGGTAATCATAATTTTTTTAAAAATCACCTTAGGTCTTATTGCACTTCACAATGTAGTTTTCTATTGCTGTTTTGAAATTACATACATTGAAATCGTTCCCCTTCGTTAAATAAGCTTACAATAATATAATAGGGAAAACAATTATTTAGAGGAGGATATTACATTTTTTTTATAACTTCTACGTTAATTAAATTCTAAAGATAATATCCTGCAATTGTCAAAATTTTATGGAAAATAGCCCTATATTTTTCAAATCTCCTGTGTGTGATGTTGATGTATTATTTTTGTTCAGAATATTTTGGTGTATTGAAATAATAGCTCTAAGTAGATAAAAATTATTACTAACTATGTTATATATAGATAAAAACTATATTAATTATGACAGTTGAGTTATATGCTAGACTAATAAATTTACTTGTTTTAGTTTTTTCATCAATGTAAGATTTCTTAGTGTTTAAAGTGTTTTGAAAATTGGTCACAGCTAAGCTCAAAAGCAAAATATAAATACGTACTTGATTGACTGCAAAGTTATTTCCTTGTTTAAAAAATGGCTTGTAAGTGAAGTCAGTTTGACACCCCTGGAGTAAGGAACTAACTGTGTAAACTCCCTCTACCATGCAGCTGTGAACTCTGAGTGCTGCTTGACTTCTTCTTTTTTCTCTGAGAACTTGGCTTCATTCCATTGAGATGCCATTTTCAATACCCAAGCCAAGTATTTGGAGGATGAATATGAGTTAATAATACCACTCTTTGTTCTTTCTGACAGTCTACCATTGACTTATTAAATTTAGCTACTTTTGTAGTTGTGGGTGGAGCAATGCACCTTAAACTCTTTGAAACTTCTTTTAGAGAAATCTTATTTAAAGCCCCAATCAACAACTGATAAATTGGAATGTTTGTTAGTAATTATGTACCTGTCTTGTAATAGAATACATATTTAAAAGTGTTCTTCTAATGTATGAATGGCAATTAATTTGGGTTTTATTGTACCACCTCTATTTTTTAACATGCAACAAAATATCATTTTGTAGAATCTGAGATTTGAAGGTATTTATTTATTAAATTAAATTTCACTTCTGCTAAGTTGATGTGCTGTGTTTACTTTATTGTTTTCATTAAAAAATATGAAATGTTAAGAATTATATTTTGTGAAATATTATACAAATAAAAAGAATAACTATTCTTTCATTTTTAATTTTTATAATGCATTACAAAGTTCATTATTTGTTGAAACCTAATTTTGCACTTTGAGAAACTTGTTGTGTATAGGAGAGTAATAATTCAATTTTACAAATACTATTCTTTTTAATTACCGAAGTAAAGCTAACAAGTCACTGTTTATTTTATCTCTAAGGCTTTACTAATTAGTTTGTCACTGAGAAAGTTTTATATTTAATAACCCAATATTTTGTAATCAGTGAGACATACTGAAAGCTTAATGTCAAATGTGTCATCAGAGATTTGTCAGTTCAGTCAAGTTCAGTGCAAGAATAAGATTAAGTAAATGATTTTTAATATTGCAAAATGGTATTGATTATCTGCATTAAATACAATGTGAATCATTAGATAATCAGAATAGGAGAGTTCAGTTTCCTTAACTAATTTCAAATTTCAAATTTTTGTGTATTGAACAGAATAGTTAATTATGGGATCTTTAAAGATCTACTTTCCTTGATTTTCTAAAAGCACTCAATTATTTTGGGAAGAGAACCAAGGTCTTTGTATGCATAGTCGTGAATTATCTCGGTGTGAATCAAGAGAAGCAGATATTGCTGATATCACAGATATAGAAACAAGGAATTTTTAAAGAATCCTGCTAATTCTTACTATGGGGTATGCATGCTTATTTTGGAATATTAATTACTTACATGACGTGTGATTTGTGTTTAGATTTGCCATAAAAACATTTCAACTAGGTACTAAACTGATGACATTCAAAATAATTTAGCATGAGCACTCTTTATTCAGATACATTAGGATCAGATTACCATTTCCTGGAAAACATGGAAATGTCAAGTTATTTTATTGATCTGGAAAACCAGGAAAAAAATGAGGAAAGTTGAAAATTGTTGAAAACTTTTTTTGAGATAGGGGAATGTTTGAGACAATTATAAAACTATATGTATTATGTAACACAGTGTGTATTATTTGTTGATATTGTTGATTTTTTTGGCAAGAGCAGAGAGTGACCAAATTAGTAACTGACACCCATACCTCACTTTTATTTAATATTTTCTTTTGAGTAAAATATTCTACAAATCTTATCAGAAAACAAATCACAAATAAAACAGAAAAAGTCAGGAAAATTTGTTCCAGAAAATGAATAGCATTGATTTTTAACATTAAAATGTTTTCATGTTTTCTTATAAGAGGAAAAAATTCGAGCAGGATGTTTTTCATTTTTAGACAGTGTTCCTAGTGTCAGATAACTTACAGAAAAAAATGGAGGTTTCCTGTGAAAAATATTGACCAGATGTGTTGGCTACTTCAGTTAAAATAGGTTCAGCCCAATTAATTTATTTTTGATAAAAGTAGTAGTGTTAATTGACATTTGAAAATGTGTGTGTCTACGTTTTTATTGTGTTAACATGGGTTAAAACGGCAAAACAGTAGAATATTTCATAGTTTAACTTTTTTAAGGACTTTTCAAGTACTTGGGTTTGACTCCAGAATATTCCCAACAGGAATCCTGGTCGTTAGAAACCCATCAGGACAGGTTGCTGCTGTTAGCCAATTCTGGCTGACAACTTTAATAATTCGTGTAACGCCGACGTTGCATTTCGCTGTTTAACTCTCCCATAATACTGTTACGCATAGGCGCCTAGAGCAAAGAAGAGGCCTGAAGCAGAAGATCCATTTTGGCCCCATATTTGACTCAAAAGTCCTTCGCCACAAGTCATGAATAAAAATTATCTCTTCATGCAAAAGAAATGGGATGGTGGGTGGGGAGTCCAGCACTCGTTATGATATTTTTCTATTTGCTATTCGGGAAGGGGCACCGACTTTCTGAATTGAGAACGTTAGAATAAAGCAAGGAATGTAAATATAGTTCGGATCTTGCTCCTTAACGTTTCCCGCTCCCGAATGAATGCATTCTGTTCACCCGAGGCCGGCGCGCACGGACATGCGTAATACAAGGCGCGGATCCACGGGGAGGGAAATGTAGGAAATTTCCCCTCCCAAAAGTTTCAACGAAACTTTCAAGAAAAAATACTTTCGTAGAAATATTAAAACTAATAAAATTGTATCGCAAAATGAGCTGAATTTATCCTACATTCTGTCATTCTACATAATTTGTAATATGACACATTCGACCAAATAAATTTGAATAAAAAAATCGTCACTGGAACTGCTCGTAGCGATGTCCTGGGCTTGAAAGTATTGTTTTAGAAGACGACACTCCTTTTTGCCATTTCGAAAGCCTACTGAGGTAGCTTATGAACGTTAAGGGATAAGAACCTACTTTCTTGTTGTTTTGGAGTAGCAAGAAGATCAGGCGTTGCCCACATCTACAGTGCAGAGGGACGGGCAAAAAATAAACAAACATCTAAACAAACAAAGAAACCTTCAAAGGAACATGGCCCGAAATCGTTTGTTCTTACGCGTTCAACTCCTTCCACTACTGCCCTGTTTGATTCGCCAAGCGAACAACCAACAACCCATCACCACCACCGACCACTAGCCAGACCTGCGGGTTTAATTTTATTTGTCGGCGTGCCCGCGTAACCCTAATACCTGGCGTCGCTGTCGTGCCCCTCCCCGCCTCTTCCTCCCCCTTCCTCCCTTACTCCCGGTCGGTCTCCGGAAGACACCACGCCTCGCCGCCGTCTTCGTCGACAATATACTCGGAGTGCGATGAGGATACCTTATGGCGCGAGGCGTCGAACAGACAGCTCGAGCCCTCGCCCCGGCAGAACGGAGGGAACTTGGAGGTAATACGTAGTTCCCGGGTTCACGCGCGCTCTGCAGTCGTCGCGACAGTTTCCGGGCGTGCTGTTGTTTGCCTTCCTCTGCGTCGCGCCGTCGTCCGGGTGCTTTCCCCCCCCCGTGCGGGGGCGCGAAAATAATGTGTCTTGGCAGCCGGCGAGACGTCTTCGACGCAGATGATCTTTTATGGGATCCCGCACGTGAGTAGCGGCAGCGGGGCGGAGGCGTTATTCTTAATCATGTGCTGATGTTCTCATATTTTTCTTAATTGTCTGCACTGGTAAGCGTGAATCAGCTTGTTTGTAAATGACGGTGCAACCACACATGTTAATCTACGAATAGCCTTCTTTGTTTAATTGCAATTAGTATGGTAAATGTCAGTGCATTTTAAAAATAACGTAATATGTAAAATTGATACACTGTAAATGAACGTAACTTAATATTGTTGACAAATAATGATCCGTATTTGGCTCCAGAATGTTTGTACTAGATGTGTACCTCATTCCTAAAACGGAAGCACTTTAAATAGATCTAGTGATCAGCTGATATTCCAAAATTTCTCTCGGTTAGCATTTTTACGTACTACATTACTTCAAATAAATCAATTACAAATTTGTGTATTTGTTGATAAAAAAATCGTGATGGAATGGGAGGCAATATGAGTATTTTAAAGCGAATTAATTATAAACAAATACGTTGGTCTAATAAATTTAATTGTCTTATCTGGCTTATAATTTTAGTCACCAACTTTTGTTTTTTGTGTGAACTTTCCAACTTGTAAAATTTACCTCACTGCAAGATCGCTTAGGCCAATTCTTTTGAGTATTTAAATTTCGGAATTCGCTTTGATCAGAAATAACCTTTCCCATCTTCCCTTATGTCTCTCGCCCCTCTTCCCATTCCCCGATCTTATTTTTCCATCCATCTTCTTTCCCCTTTCTTCCTCTCGCTTATGCCCCACCCCCCGCCTTCCAGTGAATCATCTGATTATTCTTAACATCAATAGGCTCTCACAAGTTCTATTTAGAATTAGACTCCTGCCAGCAAATGAGCTCCTGAGAAGCATGGAACGTCGGTGCCTCTTCCTTACCGTTACATGACGCGCCGTGTCTGCGTGTGTTTGTGCGCCGTTGCCGCTGCCATGAAGTCTTCTTGCTGGTAACGCGAAACACAGGATGTTCCACGTGTTACGACGAAGCGCCTCGCGTTTCGAGCCAGTACTTTCTCGGTTCTTGGCAGCGAGCGGCTGTGGGATGGGGGAGGGCGACGGGGATTTCCCGACGCGTGGGCGATCGTCGAGGGGAGGTGGTGCGGGGGCGGGGGCGCGAGTTCCCAAGGTCGTGGTGTGCTGCAATTTCTAGCAGTGCGTGGAAATTTGACACGTGCGACGAGATGCAAAGCGTTTCGCGAAAAGAAGAAAAATACTGGTATTTCGTCCTCTAATATTACGTTTTCTTTCGTGTAGTCTTCCCCCTCCTCGTCCTTTCTTGTTTTTCACTTTCTCTTTTCTCCATACTTTGCTTCATTTTTGCACTTTTCTTGCCATTATACATATTATTTTCTCTCCTTATGCGTGTCTTCATTTTTTTCCCACTCCTCCCACTACTCAACTTTCTGCTCTTCAATTTCTCCTCCCCCTTCTTTACCATCTCTCACTTCTTTATCTTTCTTCGTCTCCCCTCTTACTTCTTCAGATCACTCTTCTTCACTCTCTTCCTTTTAGATTTTAAAAGGTTTTGCACAATTTTCCACTCAAGACTACGAACGAAAGAAGTTTCGAACTTGGCAGTGTGTGCTGCTAAAGCTAAATCCCCTTAGTGTAATATCCTCTTGATTTCCACTTGCTCGATTAGATCTGCCTACCAATAAGATGTTACGTAATCAGAATATAGAATTGCTACACACTCTGCCGCTACAGGAATAAATTCCATCGAGCTTTATCACGTGACTTGAATGTGCACGATGCAAGTCACGTGATTGGAGTCACGATTTTATTGGAGTGTTGTTTTTCGAAACTACTCTATCGTCACGCTAATGTTCGCGCTTGCAGGTGGTTCAAACGTGGATTCATGTCGAATGCGATATAGTGTTTCATGCCGTGCAGAAGCGAACGTGCAATTACGCGGGAAACGTGCGCGGTATTTTGTTTCGGCTCCGTCGCGCGCGCGTGGCCGCGCTGGGCGCAGGGAGCCGTCCCCACGTGTCGTCGCGCTGCCCCGTCGCCGCCGCCAAGCGCGCACGCTGGACTGGGCGACGCCAAGCGCGCTTCAAAACGAGACGCGACGCACAGGGGCAGTGCCGCCGTCCTCGAAGCACAAAGAGCGGAGTTAATTCGAAACACGCCCTTAGACTGTGGGAACCGGTTACCCAACTAGCGGTCTCTTAAAAATGTCCGAAGTTGCCAAACCACGATTTGTAGTAACAGCGATTATTTTAAGGAACGAGGGGTTGCCGATTTACGATTTTGATGATGGCTGTTGTAATTTGTAAAATAAGTTTCATTATCTTCATCCAGCGTATTTGGTTTATGTCTCACAATAAACGCTGCATACTACTTTAGGGCATGCAGAGGGGTCGAAAATGTAATGGGAAATTACATAAACGGAGTCCACTTTAGGCAACTTTTTTGTGCACACATGTTCGGCAGGCCTCTTTCTGTCGCACTGAAAGAGATTTCTTGCCCTGCCGAGCATCTGTGCATATGGGGTTGCTTAGTAATAAGGTGCAAACGTCAATGTAAAGAGGGGTCCAAAAAACAGTGAATATATTTAGAACGGAGGGACGTACGGTGTATATCTTTTAAGACATTTATACTCGTAAGTAATCTTTTATGTTATCATTAAGGATGCTGTCTAATTACTAAATTACTTAATTACTAAAACGTAGAGAGGTCGATGGAGCAAATAATAGAGGTGGATGAAAGAGTAAGGTTGGGAATCTGCGCCGTGTTGAGGCCAGGCGCTCGCTTTCCATAGCTGCAACCGGGGTTCAGTTCCCGGTCGATTCATGTGCACGAAGCTACTGCGCCGCAGATTTTTTCTGGGTGCTTCCGATTTCGTGCCTCTCTTTTCGCCATCGCACAGTTAACACAAAATCGTATTTGCGCCAACTATCGCTCATCTATCAAACCGCCCATTTCAAGGACGGCCGGCTGAAGGATGCGGTACAATAAAAACTGCGAATGCGCGGCGTATTGAAACTTTCCCTTCTTTTAGTGTCTTACATGTCTTAATATATTTTGCAATTTTCAGTATTTCAGACGTTTTAATATTATTCGGAACTATACCAAATTTATAAATGCACTTTTTTTATTCAAATACAAAATTTAAACTAAAAATGTGCAGCAAATTGTTAGAAAATGTTGAAAATATCATCGGGGGCGACAAGTCCCCTCCCTCCCGGAAATAAAAATATATTAACGATCCTCAGAATGATACAAGATCTTACTCGTGATGTTTTTATCAAGTTCGAGCTCCAAAGCTTCTAATCTCACAGATTTATGCGGGGCACATCCATTCGTCCTCAGAGACACAGGCATTTCAGTTTTGGTATACAAAACTGCATGTATCTCGTCACTTTAATCTCAACCGTCACTAAAACAGCACAAATAAAATTAATTATTGATGCGTGTGCGTAGTTACAGCTCAAAAGAATCTTAAGCAGGAATTTCACGTCCGAAAATTCAAATTATATGTAATGGCGATTCCCTTTACTATTCTGTTAGAAATGTCATTAAATTTAATGTAGATTAATATCTTGTATAGAGATACATTAAGTTTCATGTACATTCAATATACCTCCATACATTTGTTCATTAATTTTAATGCACAAGTTCAAGTCTGCGTGGATTTAATGAAGAGGTTTTCCCTTCTGCCTGATTAATCTCGTGTACCCATTATCACCAAGATCATTCATTCGTTCGTTCCTTCCAGATATGACCATAAAGC